GGGAGGGGGGTTTTGGGCAGCCTGGGCCCTCCTGGGGGTGCAGGGTCAATCCATGGCCCTCCTTCCTCACTGCTGCTGAGCCCAGACAACTCATCACACACAGCCCCAGGTGCTCCAGGGTGTGGGGTGGGCTCTGCCTTGTCCTGCAGCACCTTCCCCCAACAAGGGGCATCCCAGGGGTGTCTGTGTGTCAGTCCCTGCCACTGAACCACCTGGCACAGCTCAGAGGTGACCGTGGCCATTGACCCTCTCTCTAAAAACCTTTTTATCCCAGTTTGTCTGAACCCTCCGGGAGGGTGAGGGCTGAGGCAGGGGATGAAGGGATGAGTGTCCAACACATGTCAGGGTCCTGTGTGGAGGCAGCAAAGCTCCTCACGTGGTGACATTGGCATGGTGAGGCCCATGTACCACTGCCAGTGGGGACAGGGATTCTCCTGGGTGGCAGTGCCCCCCCCCCATGGCCTTGTGCCCCTCCAGGGATCACCCTGTGCCCTCTCCATGGCTCTGTATCTCCCTGTGACCCTGTGCCCCTCCAGGGATCACTCTGTGCCCTCTCCATGGCTCTGTACCCCCCTGTGACCCTCTGCCCCTCCGTGGATTACCCTGTACCCCCTCCATGGTCCTGTGTCCCCAAAGTGCAGGGCAGGGGGTCTGTGACACTCCCCAGACATTGGGGTCCTTGCCCCCAGCCCTAAACCTGCCTCAGGGTGGGGTGGGTGACACTTGTGTCACCGCAGGGACTGGGATCCTCCTGCACCCTCCAGCCACCAGTGAGAGAGAGGAACTGGCCACACTGGGCAGCAGAGGCGAGAAACAGGGTCAGCACCAGTGACCAACCCTGTCCCCTCCCCTGGCCCGAGGTGGCTGCAGGGTGGCCTGGAACAGGGGAGGAGGTGGAATAGGAGGGTGGAAGGAGCAGGAAGAAGGGCAGCAGGGACTGGTTGTGCAGGTTTTGGGAGGGGAGTTTTCGGGTGATGGAGGTGGGTGCTGTGGGTGCTCGGGGCATCGCTCGCTCCTGCTGCCACCTCCAGAACGGAGTTTGGGACATCAGTGGGAGCCTGGGAGGTGCCAGCCTGGAGGAGGCCGTGGGCTGCACCTGAGGCTGCTCCCAGGCTGAGAAATAACCCCTGTCCCGCAGGGAAACGCTCCTAAATTATTATTATTATTTTCTCCCGAACAAACGGGGCTTTGTAGCTGCTCGGCCGCTCGGAACGGGGCACCTGGAGCAACCCAGGGCCTGAGGAGGGGGGAAAACCAGGCTCCAGGTTTAACTCTTCCCTGGGAGGGGGCAGGGTCTGCCACGGGGCAGCTCCCACCAAGGGTCTCCTGCACCCAGAGAGGGGACACACTGGGACAACCATTGGAGTGGCAGGAGAGGAATGGATTCACTGGGACAACCTTTGGGGTGGTAGGAGAGGGAATGGATTCACTGGGACAGCCACTGGAGTGGCAGGAGAGAGAATGGATTCACTGGGACAGCCACTGGAGTGGCAGGAGAGAGAATGGATTCACTGGGACAGCCTTTGGGGTGACAGGAGAGGGAATGGATTCACTGGGACAGCCTTTGGGGTGGCAGGAGCGGGGACAGGCTGGGACAGTTATTGTGGTGGTTGTAGGGGTGATGCCTGCACTGGGACAGCCACTGGGGTGCCCAGAGAGGGTCAAACTGGGACAACCATTGGAGTGGCAGGAGAGGGAATGGATTCACTGGGACAGCCTTTGGGGTGGCAGGAGAGGGAATGGATTCACTGGGACAGCCACTGTGGTGGCAGGAGAGGGGACACACCAGGACAGCCACTGTGGCGCCCCAGGAGCATCCTCTGCCCGGCCTCCCGGCGCTCCCTTAATTGCCCGGGGGGGTCACTAATTGCAGGGGGTGATTGATTGGTGAAATGTCACCTCCCCGGCCTCTGTTGCCAGGGTGACCTCGGCCGCTCTCTCTGGTGTTATGGGTTCCCGGGTGCCCAAAGCCACCCCCTCCGTGCCCCTGTAGAGGGAGGAGGGACACAGGGATGGGCTGTGGAAATCCCTTTCCGTCCTCCAAAGCCGGTCTGCTGCTGCAGGAAGCAGAGAGTGGCTGAGTTTGGGGCCGGGGCCTGTCCCTGCTGTGCCCTGGTGGCCACTGGCCCTTCCCGGGGGTGCCGGTGCCACCTTGGGCTGAGGGGGGTTGGCAGGTTCTGGTGCTGCTCGTGCCACAGAGGGAGCAGAGGGTGGGAGGTGGCAGGTGAGGGCCAAGATGCTGAATTCCCTCCTGGGTTCTGCTCCAGGGCCGGACATCAGCCCTGCTGGATCCACAGGGATCACCGTGGGAGCGGGAAGGGGCCACAGGCAGGGGATGGGCTCGGGGAGAGGGAAGGGAGAAGGAGCTTAGAGCAACCTGGTGTAGTGGGAGGTGTCCCTGCCCACGGCAGGGGGTGGAACTGGATGAGCTTTAAGGTCCCTCCCAACCCCAACCAGTCCTGACTCCAGATCTCCCCAGCCCAGCCCCACTCTGGCCTTGCCCTCTCTCTCCAGACCATCCCAAATGTCCCCTCCTGCCCCTTGTGCCCCAGACCCGTCCCCTGGAGCTGGACCCCCCTCAGCAGCCCCCGTGCTTTGTTTCCAAATGTGTGTCACCATCACCAGCCCCGTGTGAGAGCCAACAACAACTTGTTTATTTGGCTCATCACGGCACCAGCCCCTTGGGAGAGGCTTTTCCCTCCTTTCCCAGGTGAGGAGCAGCCCCAGGATGGGGATCTGCCCAAATCTGCCCCCACTGCTGTAGGTCAGGTGCTGCCAGTGTCACCCAGGCACTGTGGGGACATGGGGATATGTGTGGGGACACGGACATGGGAACATGTATGGGGATATGGGAACATGGGGACATGATGACATATGGGGACACAGGGCCATAGTGACATGTGTGGGGGCACGGGGACACTTATGGGGACATGAGGACACATATGGGGACACGGGCACACAGGGACACGAGAACACATGGGGGGCATGGGGACACTTATGGGGATATGTGGATGTGTATGGGGCCATGGGAAAACATATGGGGGCACGGGGACACTTATGGGGACATGAGAACACATATGGGGACACGAGGACACTTGTGGGGACATGGGAACCCATATGGGGACACAGGGACACTTATGGGGACATGAGAACCCATATGGGGACATGGGGATATCCACTTGTGGGGATATGAGGACACAGGGACACAAGAACACATCTGGGGATGTGAGGACACTTATGGGGGTATGTGGACATGTATGGGGCCATGGGAAGACATATGGGGGCACGGCGACACATATGGAGACTTGAGAACCCATATGGGGACACAGGGACACTTATGGGGACACTTGTGGGGATATGAGGACACATATGGAGATATAGGGACAGGGGACATGGAGACATGTATGAGGACACAGGGACTGGGGAAACACATGGGGGCACTTCTGGGAACATGAGGACATGAACAGGGCTATGGGGACAGGGGGACATGGGGACATGTTTACAGACACGAGGACCCAGAGCCATGGGGACACAAATGGGGACATGGGAGCATAAGGACACATATGGGGACATGGGGACACATTTGGGGACACAGGGACACAGCAGGTGCCGTTTCTGGGGCTGGAAGGAGCCGTTCCTGGCTGAGCAGTAAATGCTTTATGGACTGTGGGGCCGCGCTGGGGAATCGCCCCCGGCTCTCTCTGGTTAATTACGGCCGGCAATTAATCTAATGACGGGGGAGGCAGGACCACTGCGGGGGTGCAGGATGAGTGCGGGGCACAGGGCAGGCACCGGGCTGGCTCTGGCCTCGCTGGTTTGTCCCCAACGAGGTGGCCTCTGTCCCCGGCCGGGTTCGCGGTGCCGGCGCTGCCACTGCTCGGGGGCTCCGGGGCTCCTTGGTGCCTTCGGCCTCTTCCTCTCTCCTTCCTCGGTCCTCAGGGCTCGGCCCGAGCCCCGCAGAGCTGCGCCAGACCCCGGGAGCCCCGGAGAGCCCAGTGGTCCCCGGTGAGAGCAGCTCGGCCCCGGGGCTGCCCAAATCCGCTGCTCCCCGCCCCGCGATGCTCGTGCCCACCCGTGCCCCTGGCACCCATTTGGGACCCCCAGACTCTGCAGCAGGATGGTGACAGGGACACCCTGAGCGTGACGCCGCGGCCCCGAGCCCCGGCAGATCCCACGGGAGCGGCTCCCGCGGCGGCAGCTCGAGGTGTTCGGAACAGAGACGATAAATCCGGGCAGCGAGGAGGGGCAGCCGGGGGTGCCCGGGCAGGGACAGGGACAGGGACAGGCAGGAAGGGAGGGCGGGCAGGTCCCTGCGGAGCCAGGGCTGGAGGTGTGGCGTGGGCTGTCCCCGCGTGGGGCAGGACGGGTGGCAGCAGTCCCGCCCGGGGCGAGGTGGCAGGAGCTCGGCGCTGCCCGGAGCCGGGGATCGCTGCAGGTACCGGGACCCCGGGGGGAGCAGGGTGGCACCGAGCCACCCACGGGGCAGCGGGGGGTCACGGCTGGCAGATCTGGGGCTCCCCGGGGAGCTGCGCCTCTCCCCGTGGGCGCCGTGGAGAAGGGGGGTACCCAGGGCGGTCCACCCTGAGGATGCCGGGCATGGGATGCTGGGCGCGGGGATTGGGATGCCGGCACATTTTGGGATTGGCGGGGCCGCCTTTTCACCTGAAACCACATCAAAGCGGGCGGAAAAACAGGGCGAGCGGAGGGAAACTCACGGCTCGGGCACGTCCTCGGAGTGGGGAAATAAACCCCGAGAGGCTTTTAATGAGCCGTGATGCACCGAAGCGCGGGGGCGTTTCCGGCGTGACGAGGGCGGGGGGAGGCACCCACCCACCTGCTCGGCGTGTCCTGTGTCGCTGTCACTGTCGGATGTCGCGATGGGTGACAGGGGATGGCCCGGGGCGCTGCTGGAGCGGGGTTGGCGGTGAGGGGGTCCCACGGGACACTGGGATGAGGTAAACAACAGCAGCGCTCACAGGGATGGTCATGGGATCCTGTGCCAGCACCGGGAAAGGGACGAGGGTCAGGCTGGTCCCATCCCTCCTGGTTTTTGCCTGGGAAGGAGTAGGAGGGCACAGAGGTGAGCAGGGACCCCCCGGCTGTGCCGGATCTCCCGGGCTCTCCCAGGGGACCCAACTAATTCCTGCACTGGGCAACAGCCCCACATTGATCCGGTGCTTTCAGGAACAGCACGGCCCCAGGAGCCCCGTGGCAGCGGGGTCGGATCAGTGAGGGACATAAATCTCCGCGTGTTTCCCCAGCCTGGGCCAAACCCTCGTGGCTCAACGCCCGGCCCTGCTTAAACCTGATTTTTGTTCAGCCCTGCAAACCCCCAACAGCCCAGAACTGCACTGCTGGGGGGAGGAAGCCCTGCTTCGGGTCCTGTTAGCACCCAGCAGCACCGTGGGGCTGCTCTGCAGCTGGAAACCTCAGGGATTGGCAGGATGAGACATTCCCTGCCGGGCTGGATGGACCAGCTGGATCATCCCGGTGTTGGGTTGGTGGAACAGCCCATGGGTTGGGAAATCACTGCTGGGCTCCAAGGTGTGGGGCAGTGGTCAGAGGATGTCCTGGGAAACCCCAGGACAGGGCCAGTGCAGGGTCTGGCCATGGGCCCACACGTCTGGGGCTGGCAGGGGGCCCTGGCACCCACTCCCAGCCTGTTCCTGCCTCCCCAGAGTGCAGGTTTTATTTCTAATTACTGAGGCGAGGAGTGAGGTTTGTCCAGAGCTTTCTCGGAACCGAGGTTTCTTGGACACCTCCCTGAAATTATTTTTCAAGTGCTTTAGATCACCCTTTTCCCCTCCCTTTCCCCCTGCTCCGGGCCCCACAAGAGGCATTTTTTTCCCGGCTGCCTTTGCAGGGCTCTCAGCCCCTGGAGTGTCCCACATCTGCCAAGTGCAGGTGCTTAATAAGCCAAACACACTTTTGTTTGGCACTGTTTGGGAACAGGGACACTCTGGAGCCTTGCTGGGTACAATGGGGCTCAGAGATGCCAGGCACAGTGGGGATGTGATGGATCATCAGCTCCAGGCCAGATCCTGAGCACAGGGGGCACCAGGACAACCACAGACAAACCCAGGTCTTGACGTGTGTCTCGGTGAGAAGCAGAGCAGAGTCTGATCCTTTGACCACTGTTACTGATCTGGAAGGAGAGAGCCCAGGAAAACCCCTTGCCACTGATCAGTGCCAGCCTCACCTCTAGTGCTGGTGTCCTGGAGAAGGGAGCCAGGTCAGGAGATGCTGAGGGCCAGGACCCTGAGGGCATGAACAGGAGTTAATGGCCCTGAGCAGCCTCGCTGGGACCCCTCACCCATCTCTGTGGGTTTGGGAAGCTCAGCCCAGGGGTCGGTTCTGGACCAAGCCCTCAGGTAGGTGGGTCTGTGTCCAGCTTGGCCACATGCCCGTGCCTGGCCATGGGCCCAGCCCTGTCCCTGCCCCTTGGGGCTGTCCTGTCCCAAAGGATGGGCTCTGTCTCACCCTCTCACCCTGCCCTTTGTCTCCTTTGTCATCCTGACTGTGGACTTCCAAGCTTGAATCCGGACCTGCCTCATCATCACAAGCTTGACAGGAGGTCCAGGCTCAGGGCTCACCCCAGCTGCCACCCCTGGCTCTGCCCTAAGTGCTCCTGGTTAGAACTTTGGAATGGTTTGGGTTGGGAGGGAGTTCAGCTGGTTCCAACCCCCTGCCACGGGCAGGGACACCTTCCACCAGACCAGGGTGATCCAAGCTCCATCCAGCCTGGCCTTGGACACTCCCAGGGCTGGGGTCAGGGAAGGGATTGTCACCTCCACCAGGACAAACCAAGGGGCACTGGCTGGCTGGGAGGGCTGGGAGCAGGTGACTGGACACCCTGAGGTTCCTCTTGTCTCCTGTTGGATGCTCTCCATGGAGCAGGTGTTCCCACTGAGCCTGGATCCCATTTATGGCCCCTGAAGAGGAGGTTCCTGCTGTGGCCAGGGGAGCCCATCCCTCTGCCAGGAGGAGGCAGGGAAATGTGCCTGCCAGGAACTGGGGAGGGAGGGATTTGTTGTGCCCCCTGTGGCCCTTTCCAACCAGATCCAGCCCAGGACAGTCTGTCTGCAGGGAAAGGTGTCCCCAGCTGACAGTGCCCCTGGGACAAGGGCACCAGTGGGGTCACAGCAGGGAGGAAGATGTGGAGATTTGCACCTGACCCTGGGCCAAATCCTATTTTGCCTCAACAAAGTGGGAAGGGCCAATGAGGGCACCAAGGGGCTTCTGTGGGCTTTCCTCCTGGGGGGAATCTCATTCCTCCAGGCACCCCTGTGCTTCCCACTCCCTCCTATCTGTGGGACAAGTGGTAGTGGGAGCTGTGAGATGTAGCAGGAGTGTCCCAGCACACACAGCAGCTCCTTCCTGCTCAGCTGTCCTGGAAAACAAGGACAGGCCCCAAATATTGGGGGTGAAACTTGCCCAGGGAAGCTGTGATGCCCCATCCCTGGAAGTGTCCAAGGCCAGGTTGGATCAAAGGAGCAACCTGGTCTAGTGGAAGGTGTCCCTGCCTATGGCAGGGGGTGACACTGGATGAGCTTTAAGGTCCCTTCCAAACCAAACCAAGCTCAGGTGTCATTTAGGACCCAGGGACAGTGGCACACACCGAGTCCTTGGTGGTAAAGAGGGATGATGTCGTGGATCCAAGGTTTTTCTGGGCTGCAGGGGCCGAGGTGCTGCCCATGTTGGAGTTCAGGGTCTCTTGGAGCTGGGATGGGAGCCAGGATGAGGTGACCTGGGATGAGGATGGATGTCCAACTGGTGGCACCTGTGAGTGTGTTGGGGCAAACCAATATCCAGGAGGAGCAAGAGGGAAGGAGATACTTCAGTAAAAGAACGGGGAAAAAAGTGCTGATCAAAGGAGTGGGATAAGCAATAATGGCAGGGACAGACTTCTGGTGGGATTATTTAATAATAAGGTAATTAATGCTTTATCCCTCACTGGCTCCTTTCATGTAAGGATCACAAAGCTCTTCACAAACATTAATTAATCTTCCCCACCATCCCTGCAGGAAGGTCACCGAGCTCAGGGAAATGTTGTCATTGATGGAGGTGGCTGCTCCCTGTGCCTGAAGGGTGCTGGGCTGTGATGGCAGGACAGGGAGAGCTCCAGTCTCACCCACGGCTTCCAATGATTCCCCAGAACTTCCTCAGTTCCCCAGAACTACCTTTGAACTGTCACAGGCAGCCGGGACTGGGTGAAGGCTGCTGGGAATGGTGTCCTCTCTGCGTGGTGTCCTGCCCTGGAGAGGGTCCAGCTTTGGGAGGGATCCTGGTGGGATCCTGCTGTCCTTGCTCAGCATTTCACACCTCCGGGGTCGTCCTTGTTCCCAGCTCCTGGCACTGGGGCCACCATGGCTGAGCAGGACCTGGCCACAGGCTGCCCACGTGGGAAGAAGGAGCTGCCAGGTCAGTGTGCAACCGGGGGGGTTGGGGCTTTTATCTTTATCTTTTTTAGATGGTTTGTGAGAAATTCGAGCATGGGACAGGTGGGGAAGAGGCAGATCTGAGGTGAGGATGGAACGTCCGGCCATGGGGAAGGCATTGGGAGCACGGCTGGGATGTCTCCTGCTTGGCAGGGTCTGTGAAATATTGGGATGTTAAAATCTGGGACAGCAAAACATCGGGATGGCAAAATTTGGGATGGCAAAGATGAAATCAGGAGAGGAACAGGCAGGACTTCAGAACAGACTGTGCTTGGGGGGACTCATCCTGCAGTCCCTTGATAAACCAAACCCTGAGCCCAAAGGGTGAGCCTGAGGCTCGGGGGGTGGGGTGTGTTTGCCAGTGGTCCTGCACCTCTGGAAGCTTCTGGTCTCCTGCCCTGTCCCTGTCCCCCAGCCCTGTCCCAGCTGTGCCTCCAGCAGCACCCCTCAAACTGGAATTCCCACCCCACCAGTGGGTCACCACGAGCCCAGTGGGACCATCAGTGGTCCTGGTGCCCTCTGGGAGGAGCTCAGGGTCTGGCTCTGGTGGGAGCTGGGGGTTGTCCTGGCTCTGGTGGGAGCTGGGGGTTGTCCTGGCTCTGGTGGGAGCTGGGGGATGCCCTGGCTCTGGTGGGAGCTGGGGGTGTCCTCTTGCTTTCCCAGCCTTCACGTGGCAGGTGAGGGCCAACGACCGACGGTACCACGCACAGTCCAAGAAGAAATTTGCCTTCTGCCTGAGCAGGAAGAAGTACAGGGTGAGCCAGCCCAGCCCAGCCTGGGCCATTCCCTCACCCAGCCCCTCACTCCTGAGCCTGTGGTGGTTTGGGAGGACGTGGCAGAGGTGGTCCAGAGGGGTCTCCAGTGGGGTGAAGAGTCCCATCCATAGCCCTTAGTGAGGACCTGCTCCCTCCCTCTCAGGTGCCACTAAAACTGTCAGGCAAGGACCAGAACTGTGTGAAGGAAACTTTTCAGTCTGACGGTCAAATAAAAAGATTCTTCAAAAAGTTTTAATTGAACAAAACCACATTTTTTAAATTTTTTTTTTATTTTAGCTAAATAATGACCATCTGTTCGGGGTCAGTCAGCTGGGTTTTAGATGATCAGAAAGAAACTATTTTGTTTTGAATTTATGTGGCCCTTTGCTCTAATAAATCCCTTTTTTTTTTTCCCATGGCCTCGGTTATTTTTTAAGGCACCTCTTACCCCATGAAAAGTCCCACAAACACCAGAAAGTTTTGGGGATTCTTAAAGCAGATCCTTGATTTGTGACCTGCCTTTCCCCTGCAGGGCAATGCCATCAAAACAGCCAAGTACAACCTGCTCACCTTCCTGCCCCTGAACCTCTACGAGCAGTTCCACAGGATGGCCAACGTCTACTTCGTCTTCGTCATCCTCCTGCAGGTGACAAGGACACCAGGGGGGTGTGGGAGAGGTGTCTGCCAGGGGAGGGTTCTCTGGACTTTAGAGGGGGGAACTTGGGTCTAAAAGGTTTCCAAGGGTGTTGCTTTTCCGTGGTGTCCAGTGTCTTTCATGAACTCTGAGGGGTTCAACCCATGTTCTTTGGTTACTTTAAATTAAATTTCCCCAATGTCAGTGGGATGTGGAGCTGCTGGAGAGAGTCCAGAGGGGGCCACGGAGCTGCTCCAAGGGCTGGAGCCCCTCTGCTCTGGAGCCAGGCTGGGAGAGCTGGGGGGGTTCACCTGGAGAAGAGAAGGATCCAGGGAGACCTGAGAGCCCCTTGCAGGGCCTAAAGGGGCTCCAGGAGAGCTGGAGAGGGACTGGGGACAAGGGATGGAGGGACAGGACAGGGGGAATGGCTTCCCAGTGCCAGAGGGCAGGGTGAGATGGGATATTGGGAAGCAATTTTTGGCTGTGAGGGGGGGGAGGGACTGGAATGGAATTCCCAGAGCAGCTGTGGCTGCCCCTGGATCCCTGGAAGTGTCCAAGGCCAGGTTGGACGGGGCTTGGAGCCACCTGGGCTGGTGGAAGGTGTCCCTGCCCATGGCAGGGGGTGGCACTGGATGGGCTTTAAGGTCCCTTCCAACCCAAACCATCCTGTGATTCTGTGACATTCATTGGGCTTGGATGCAGCCAGAGCTCACACAGATGACCAAAATATAAATCCAACCCTCCAGAGACTCACGACACATTTCACACATTTCCCTTCAAAAAGAGGTGGGAATCCAGCAATCCAGGTCTCTGCAGACAGAGATGTTGATCTGATGGTTCCCAGGCGGGTCCCTGCCGCCCTCAGGCCCTGGCTGGGGAGTGAGGGGGTTCCTCGGTCACCATGAGTGTCCCAAGGTGGGGTGAAAGTCGTGTCAGTGGTGTAACATTCTCCTCCTCTAGACCTTCCCTGAGATCTCCACGGTGCCCTGGTACACTCTGCTGTTCCCCCTGAGCTGCCTCCTCGTCATCCGGGGCCTGCGGGACCTGATCGATGACATCGTGAGTGGGGGGGGAATGTGGGGTGGGATGTGGGATGTGAGCCTTGGGGGACAGGAGCAGAGAGGGGCCCCTTGCTGTGAGGTGAGCTGAGAAGCTCAGGAGTTGCTGTTGTCCACAGTTCTTGAGGTAACAACAGCTGCACCACATCCACAATGCTTTGTATCCTCCCTTGGGAAGGATGTGACCAGCTGGGTGCTTTTTTGGGGGGTCTAGACCCCCATTTCTGTCATCTTTAACACCTTAACCACTGGCTGCATTGCCAGGCTGGTCCCCAGAAGCACCTGGGCGGGGGTTCAGCCCTTTTATTAATGAGAACACAACTTCTGATACCTCAGAACGCAGGTCCTGCCCTGGGGCTGAGGAGGCAGGTGGTGGCATTGAGGGGGTTGTGTTTTGGGACAGGGGAGCCTGGCATGGCCCATCCCTTTCCTTTGGCCTCTCTCCCTCTCCCCTCTGTGCAGGGCCGTCACCAAAGCGACAGGAACATCAACAGCAGACCCTGTGAAATCCTGTGTGGGAAGAGGTGAGGGGCTGTGGGGAGCTGTGCCCGTGTTTTCCACGCTGTGGAATGATGGATCATCCGAAGGGCTGAGAATCCTTGAGCAGCTGGGAAGGGTTTTGGTGGGACTGTCCCTGGCCCTGCACACTCCCATGGGCTCCCAAATCTGCTGCTGGTCCAGCTGTTCCCCCGTAGGGACGATCCCATTCTGGTCATGGACAAGAGGTCTAGGAGAGACCCCCTGGGCTGTGCTGGCAGCAGGGTTTCCTTGGCCACAGAACCCCTCCAGGTCACCATATCTAACCCACAGAGTCGTGTCCCTGCTCAGCACTGGTCCAGGGAAGGATGAACTTCTCCCCCCTGTGCCCAGAGGGCTGAAAGTCCCTGTCACCTGTGGGTGTGACAGATGGCTCCTGTGCCACCCTCAGTGCTCAGCCATCCCTCACTCCTGCAGCACAGGAACCTGGAGACCCCATTCCAGCAGGAATCTGGGGCAGGCATGGGCAGAAACACCCAGGGCCTCCAACCCACCGCTCTGCAGGGACAAACATTTGCTCCCCTCCCCAAATCTCCCGCAGGTTCCAGCGGCAGAGGTGGCGCGACATCCGCGTCGGGGACATTGTCCGGCTGCGCAAGGACAGCGTCGTCCCGGTGAGCCCGGGGCTGGCTGGGCGCGGGGCGGGGGGTTGTTGATGAGCAGGAAGGGGCTCACCCAGCTCCTCTCTCCTCCTTTGGGCTCCTCAAGGCTGACGTGCTCCTGCTGTGCAGCTCCGAGCCCAGCAGCCTGTGCTACGTGGAGACGGCGGACATCGACGGGTGAGGAGGGGACAGGGGACACTGTGGTCGTGCAGGGAGGAGGGGAGAGGGGACATTGTGGCCATGGGGGAGGAGGGGACAGGGGATCCTGTGGCCATGGAGTGAGAAGGGGACAGGGGACACTGTGGCCGTGCAGGGAGGAGGGGACAGGAGACACCATGGCCATGGATTGAGGAGGGGACAGGGGACATTGTGGCCATTGGGGAGGAGGGGACAGGAGACACCATGGCCATGGAGTGAGGAGGGGACAGGGGACACTGTGGCCATGAATTGAGGAGGGGACAGGGGATCCTGTGGCCATGGAGTGAGGAGGGGACAGGGGACACTATGGCCATGGCCTTGGAGGAGGGGACAGGGGACACCACGGCCATGGAGTGAGGAGGGGACAGGGGACATTGTGGTCATGGGGAGGAGGGGACAGGGCACCCTGTGGCCATGGAGTGAGGAGGGGACAGGGGACACTGTGGCCATGCAGTGAGGAGGGGACAGGGGACATCATGGCTATGCAGTGAGAAGCAGACAGGGCACTCCGTGGCCATGGGGGGAGAGGGGCAGAGGCTGAAGTCCCCAGTCTTGGGGACCCCCCAGCGATGGACACCCCGTGAGGGCTCAGCAGAAACTAAAGCATATGGGGGATCCTCCCAAACCCCAAACCCACAGGCGCCCTAGAAATGGGATTTGAGCCCCGGATTTTGAAAATGGGAGTCCAAAACCTCTCGAGAGGTTTCCACAGAGCGGCTTGTGGCCGTGTCTCCATGTCTCAGTCCCTCCCATGAGGACAGTGGCTCCCTCCCACCTCCATCTGCAGGATGATTTAAAGGCAGGAACCCCAGGCCAGGGCTCTTCCCGCACAGGTGCCCCAAGTCTGGCACAATAAGTCCCCATCTGGCATTTCATTGCCATCACTCCTGTAATCACCTGATAATTAATGGCCACCTCTGTCCCACGGCTCTCACAGCAGGATTAACGGCTCTGTCACCCCACAGGGTTGTTTTATTTTCCCTTCCCTGGCTCTTGTTCACAGGGAAACAAACCTGAAGTTCAGGCAAGCCCTTCTGGTCACCCACCAGGAGCTGGGGAGCGAGGAGAGCATGGCTGCCTTTGATGGTGAGTCTCCAGGACCATCCCACTGGGATGGGATGGGTTCAGCCTTGGGAAGTGATCCCCGATCCCTTGTCCCCATCAGTCCACGCATCAATTCCTTCCACCTGCCAGGAGACAAAGACCTTGGGTGGAGGTGCCTCCCCAGCTGAGTGGCTCTGTGATGGGTCCATCAGGGTTCTGCACCTTCCCCTTGATTTTCCCACTTAGAACCAAGACATTGCTTCCCAAACCTGAGCTCAGGCCCTGGGCTGTTCTTCCTCTGCTCCTCCCCAGGGTTCAGTCTCCCCTCTCAGAGGCTCTGGGGGTGTTGTGTTGGTACCTCCTCTAGTTCATATCCCAGTGCAGATCCTGCACTGAGTGACCTCCCAGCACTTCCAGCCTCACCCGAATTTGAGCCTCCAAATCAGCTCCACTTGGCTGCTTTGGCTGGGCTGTGAAGGCACCAGAATCACTGACTTAGTTCAGACAAGCCAGTACAGGTTCACTGTCTCTGATGTGAGGAGGATGGAGAAAATTATACTGGACAAGCTGTGTTGGAAAGTCAAAGCTACAGCAGACTTCCAATTTCTGCAGCTGTATCCCACACTCATTCCTGGGAATTTAAGCTGGAAAAGGAGAAAGTGCCTTAATTTTGAGAGCCTTGAGACTCAGCTGAAGGCCTGCCAGTGCAGCATCATGTTTTCTAAAGCCAAGCCCTCTGCCTTGGCACTGTCTATTATGGCACTAGAGACTGCAGGAGTTGGCAGAGGCATTATTGGCACTCCTGCAGCTGCATCCCAAGAGATGCCCTGGCAAAGCCTGAATCTCCCCAAGAGGCCCCCAGAGCCCTCTTTGGAGGGGCTAAGGAAGGTCCTTTTGCTTGCCCCTGATCTGTGCCCTCTCCTGCAGGGAGGGTGACCTGTGAGGAGCCCAACAGCCGCATGCACAGCTTCACGGGCACCCTGGAGTGGAGGGGAGAGACCCATTCCCTGGACAGCGAGAGGATCCTGCTGAGGGGCTGCAGGATCCGCAACACCGACGTCTGCCACGGGCTGGTGATCTACGCGGGTGAGAGCACCCCTGGGACACAGGGGTACAAAACAACCACGATCTTAAGCTGCCCAAGCACTTCTGGCACCAGCAGGTCCCGTTCCCAGCAGAGACAAGGTGGAGGAGCTGCTGCCTCAGCCAAGCCCCAGATGTTTGTCCTGAGCCTCGCTGGTGCTGGGCTCACTGGCAGGGACACGGTGTGGTGGCATCAAACCTCTGCCAGGTGATATCTCACCTGCACCACGCCCTGGGCCCTCTGCACTTTGTAGGTCGAGGCACTGAGGGTTTGGCCATGAGGGGAGATGTGGTGTCAGCAGCACTGCTCGGACCGTGGTCCTCCAAAGCCTTCAGAGGAGGGGAGATGCTGCTGTGGAGGAAACCCCCCTCACTCAGCTGCAAGTCAACCTTCTAAGGGGCTGTGAACTTGTGTTTTTACTTCTCAAACATTCCCTGTCCAGGATTTGATTCCAAAATCATGAGGAACTGCGGGAAGATCAAGCGGAAGAAAACCAAGCTGGACAGCATGATGGACCGGCTGGTGGTCATGGTGAGTGTGGTGCCAACACCTCTGCCCTGCTCCACCAGCCTCCTGGGGCTGCTCACAAAACTCCTCAGGAGAGGCTGCTTGCTTGGGTGATGCTGATTTTCTTCAGCTTGCAATATTTTGCCTAAAATATCTTAAGTTTGACACGTTCATAGAATCAGAGAATGGTTCGGGTTGGAAGGGACCTTAAAGCCCATCTCATTCCAACCCCTTGCCATGGGCAGGGGCACCTTCCACTGGACCAGGGTGCTCAAAGCAACATTGGTCCTAGAAAAGTGGTGGCCTCTTGTGGTGGGATGTTCTCATCCCGGGACATTCCCATCCTGGGACGTTTCCATCCCGTTTTCCCTCCCCAGATCTTCCTGCTGCTGTTGGTCACATCCCTCGGCCTCGCCGTTGCCTCTGGGTTCTGGGCCAGGACGTTCCAGGAGAAGCACAGCTACCTGTCTGCTGTCTACAGGAACAGCAGCCCTGCCCAGCAGGCCTTCCTCACCTTCTGGGGCTTCACCATCCTCCTCAGCGTCATCATCCCCATGTCCATGTACATCACGTAAGGATCACAGAGCTGGGAGGTGACCGGGGCTCGGGACCCCTCCCCCTGCCCTCGCCCACCACGTGCCACTGGGGTCACAGCCCCAAACTGGGGCTGCACTGAAGGTCAGGGTGTGGCCTGGGGCACCTCGTTCCCATGTGTTCCCTTATCCAGGAGAAGGGAAGGGTGGGTGGGGTGTGTACCCTACAAACATGCTTTGAGGTATTCCCAGAGGAAAACCAGGATAGAGATCCAAGGCTTGCTCTGATGTTGGGAATCACTGGCAGGCCAAGGGGGAGGCTGGTGAAGGTGCTGCTTCCCATGGTGGGGGAGAGAAGGGCACAGTTGCTGTGAGCAGGCAACGATCACAGTTTGTGCTGGAAAAAAAAGCAGTTTCCAAACTTTCTGGCCCTTCACTGAATCTCCAGATCTGTGAATTCTGTCATCAAGGGCCAGAATTCCAGAGGGGAGCCCAGCTGCCTGGGTGGGTGATGAACCTTCTGGAAACCTGGCCCTGAGCATCAAAAACCCTCTTGTCTCCCCCAGCCCAGAGCAATCAGATCCAGGTGGGGAGTTCCCCCCTGCCCTTCCTTCCCAGGTCAGGTCCCCGGGTGCCCCTGGGATGTGAGGAACACAGTCTCCCTCTCCCTGTTTTTCTCTCCCCAGGCTGGAATTCATCTACCTGGTGAACAGCTTCTTTATCAACTGGGACCTGGAGATGTATTATGCTGTGAAGGACATCCCAGCCAAGGCCAGGAGCACCAGCCTCAACGACCAGCTCGGCCAGATCGAGTACATCTTCTCAGACAAGACCGGCACCCTGACACAGAACATCATGACCTTCAAGAAGTGCTGCGTCAACGGCACCATCTACGGTAACCTGGGCTGGGAGCGAGTTTGGAGGGGCTCATGTGGGCCTGGAAATGGTTCTTCCCACTCCTCCTGCCTGCCCAGGAAGCTCAGGGCACGTGGAGTGGTGTTGGTGGTCCAGCACAGAGACAGATGATGCTGCAGGGATTCAGCTTGTTCTGATGTCCCACCACAGCCAAGGTCCCACTGGCCTGGTGTTCCCAGCACGTGGAATCAGGGCACGGTTCTGCCCTCTGGCAGTGGGGAGGTTTCATGGCCCAAACTCAGCTGAGATCAGTGAGGTTTCCCCTGATAAAAAAGGGAGCCTGGGGTAGGAGCCCAGCACAGCTGCAAACACAGAGCCTGGGTGAGGTGGATCCCACCTGGAATCATCAGCTCCAGGCAGGCCAGAGAATCCCATGGATTTTTATTTTCTGTTAAGGTCTCATGGATAAAAGGAGATGTTGCTTTTCGTCTTTGCATCATTTTCTGGTGAATCTCCTGCTTGGTTTCCAAATCTGGGCACTTGGAGGCTTTCAGGTGACCTATGGAGGAGGCAAAGAAATCATCATTCCATTTAAGTTGTTTAACTAGAGTGAATGTGTGAAATTGCCCTTCATTTTTCTTTTTCTTTTAATTTTTTTAATTGTTATTTTTAATGACTCTGCCTGGTTTTCCCCTTAAAAACTTGAAAATTGCCAAGTCCCTTCTGTTCTTCTTGCTATACTTACTTGAGCTCTTGGCTCATTTTTGGGAGCTGTCTTGGTGCTTAATCAGTGAAATTTAGTGGGTGGAGTGAGCCAGAGCTTTAGCATGGAGCTCTTCTTCTTGAGGTAAGGGAAAATTTGTCTCAGGTGCTTGAGACAAATGGACAGTGATAAAAGAAAAAAGGAAGGGGAAACAAAAATCTAGCAAAGTTTTAAAGCAGGAATAACCCCAGTTTTGCCCTCCCTGATGTGTCAGGTTGCACCTCGTGGAGCAGCATCTCCCTGATCCTGGCAGCCTCTGGCCAATCTCCCAGGAAATGCAGGGGGAAGTAGAACTGAGTTTTTAACATTAAAATCGTGTCAAAAGTCTGAGCAGTTCAAAAGCCAGAAAGATCAGACCTGGATATCCCAGTGGAGCCTGACACCGATCCCAAAGCTCTGCCCTTTGGGCGTTTGTTGGTCCCCAGGAGCAGGAATCCCCCTGGAGAAGCTGCTCCAAGCCCCGCTGGTGCCTCTCCCAATTAACTGAAGTGTTTTTATTTTGGCAGGTCCAGGCACAGGCCATGAGAACAAACAGCCACCAGTGAGTAATTCCCCCCTGCCCCGGAACACGGGGTGTCACACCAAGTGTCACCACAGCCCTGTGTGTCCTGGGTTCTGAGAGTGGCCTGTGCTCCCTCAGGCTGGAGCAGGCAATGATCCCTGCCCGTCCTCAGCTGCCAGGGAAGGACAGGGAAAGGGGGTTTAGAGATAACACAGCTCTGGTTTTTTGGTTTTTTCATTCCCAACCTGTTCACACTCGGGGTGTGGGCAGTGCAGAGCTGGCTCAGGCTCTGACCCAGGTCTGGGCCAGCTCAGCCTCTCTGTGTCACATCCCCTGTGCCCCATCTCCACCTCCATCCTGCCTGTGCCTCCCGCAGGGGTCGGGGTCGGCCTGGGACCACCACGGGGAGCAGAAGGTGGACGTGATGCTGTTGGAAGCCGCCCGGAGGGACAGTGACCCTGTGCTGAGGGAGTTCCTGAGGCTGCTGGCCCTGTGCCACACGGTCATGGTGGAGGAGAGGGGCGGTGGGTTGATGTGCTCGGAGCGGGGTCGAGCTGCCCCTCGGGGCACCGAGGCCGTGGTGGCTCTTTGCAGAGCCCAGCAGAGCTCAGCTGTGGGGAGTAGAGGGGGTGAGAGCCCAGGGGTGGCTCGTGTCACTGTCCCTTTGTCATGGACATGTGCCTTTGGGTGGGTTTTAAAACTCACCAGGGGGAAGAGAAGCACAGGGGGACAATCTGTCCCTATCTGGATGCTTGTCCTGTCTGGGGCAATGAGTGGAAGAGATCATGGAATCCCAGACTGGTTTGGGTTGGGAGGGACATTAAAGCCCATCCAGTCCCACCCCCTGCCATGGGCAGGGACACCTTCCACTAGCCCAGGTGGCTCCAAGCCCCGTCCAACCTGGCCTTGGACACTTCCAGGGATGGGGCAGCCACAGCTGCTCTGGGAAACCTGTGCCAGGGCCTCCCCACCCTCACAGCCAAGAATTCCTTACCAATATCCCATCTAACCCTGCCCTCTGGCAGTGGGAAGCCATTCCCCCTTGTCCTGTCCCTCCAGGCCCTTGCCCAAAGTCCTTCTCCAGAAGAGACAAGTAGGACTGAGTTTCCCTGGCCTGTCATCTTGGACTTTGGGATTTCCACCACTCATGTTGGTGCTGGACAAGAAGCCCAGGCACTGTCTGCCTGGAAGTCTCCATGTCCAACCTCCCCACCTTTCTGCAGGCCAGCTGGTTTACCAGGCAGCCTCCCCAGATGAGGAAGCCCTGGTGTTGGCAGCCAGGAGCTTGGGGTACATGTTTCTGGCCCGAACACAGGACACCATCACCATCAGTGAGCTGGGGAGGACGAGGACCTACCAAGTGCTGGCCATGCTGGACTTCAACAGCGACCGCAAGAGGATGTCTGTCCTGGGTGAGGGGGCTGAGGGGTCTCAGGGAGCCCCTGTGGGCACATGGAGGGTCCCTTCCACACTCAGCCCCACAAGGGATGGCACTGGGATGGATGTGATTGAGCACTGGGGTGACTGAGCATTGGAATGGGCTGCCCAGGGAGGGGGTGAAGGCACCATCCCTGGAGGTGTTTAAGGACAGACTGGATGTGGCATCAGTGCCATGGTCTGGTTGCCACAGTGGTGTTGGGTCATGGGTTGGACTCGGTGATCTCAGAGGTCTTTTCCAACCAAAATGGTTCTATGATTCTGTGACCAAAACTGGCACTGGGGCTCCCGAGGGTCACCCTGGTCATCCCTGTGGGTTTACTCACCTGGTACATCAGTGAAGGCATCTGAGAAGGGTTTGAGCAGCCAAGACAAAACGAGTAAATCCAGGGCTCAGAGGAGGTGTGTGAGGAACTGACAGTCCTTGAGGCCTGATCCTGCCTCGTGGCAATGGAGGCCCCAGGAAATTCCTGTGCTTTTGATGGAAAAGCACCAGCGAGCCCTGCGGTGCCTTCTGGGGGACAACAGGGGTCAGCGGGGCCACTGTTCAGGGTTGGTGGGTGGGAGCTGTCTCTGAGGGGACCTGAGCTGTGCTTCCCCTCCCTCCCAGTGCGAGACCCCCAGGGCAGCATCCGGCTCTACACCAAGGGAGCCGACACCGTCATCCTGGAGCGGCTGCGGAGACGGGGCCGCAGCGAGGCCTTCACCGAGAGGGCCCTGGATGTGAGTCCCACGCCAGCTCTGCTCTCCCTCCTGCTGCCTTTGGGATGGGTGTCCCGGAGTCTCCCTCGCTGCTCTTTCTCCCTCTGGCTTCCGGATTTCGGTACTTTCTTCCCTCCGCTCTAGGAGCCTCACCCGCTTGTGGGACGGGGGGTAGGAGGGCATCAAACCCACCTCTGGTGTTCTGCACGGACCAGCTGCATTGCAAGGATGCTCATGGGGGTGCTTTAGGATGGGAGAGGGAGTCAGAGCCCAGAGAGAGACCCTCAGGCCCTGGAGTGTCCCTGGCTCTGCCCATGGTTACCGTGGGGAGTCCTGATGTCTCCTCCCTGCAGCTCTTTGCAGAGGAGACCCTGAGGACGCTGTGCCTGGCCAGCAGGGAGGTGAGCAAGGCCGAGTACCAGGAGTGGGGCAGGAGGCACCACGAGGCCGCCGTGCTGCTGCAGGGCCGTGCCCAGGAGCTGGACAGGCTGTACGAGGAGATGGAGCAGAACCTGCAGGTGGGAGGAGGACACGGGCTGGGAGGAACCCCAGAGGGCAGGAGGGTGGGATTCGGCTCTCTGGGATGAGGGGGTGAAGTGTCCAGCCCAACACCCACCCCCTGAGTGGGAGGACAGGTGGAGTTCCACCCCAGGTGTGACTCTGTGTCCATAGACACTGGGGTAGGTACCTGTTGGGTCATGTCCACCCACAGCAAGGGCTGCTGGCTGGATCCGGAGGTAATTCCCAGCTCCTTCTCTTGCCCTGCTCTGTGCCATGGCATCCATTCACCCTCCATCCAGGGGTAATTCCCAGCTCCTTCTCTTGCCCTGCCCCAAGCCATGACACCCATTCTCCCTCCTTCATCCAGGGGTGATTCCCAGCTCCATATCTTGCCCTGCTCTGTGCCATGGCATCCATTCACTCTCCTTCATCCAGGGGTAATTCCCAGCTCCACATCTTGCCCTGCCCCAAGCCATGACACCCATTCTCCCTCCCTCCAGCTGCTCGGGGCCACGGCCATCGAGGACAAGCTGCAGGATGGAGTCCCTGAGACCATCCAGCTGCTGAAACTGGGCAACATCAAAGTGTGGGTGCTGACAGGAGACAAACGAGGTCAGTGGAGGCAGCCACAGACCCCACAAACACATTTCAGCTCCTCCCCTCCCCAGGACTGTCCCTGGAGGTGTTTAAGGACAGGCTGGATGTGGCATCAGTGCCATGGTCGAGTAGACAAGGTGGTGTTGGGTCAAAGGTTGGACTCGATGACCTCAGAGGTCTTTTCCAACCCAGTTGGTTCTGTGACCAGAGAGGAAAAGGGACCCTAGGAGTGGGAAGGAACTGGGTTATGATGCTCCCTTCATACAACAGCAGAGTCTCACTGGGATCAGGTCTCCCACGGACCAGGTTGCCCATGGAAAACTGAGACAGGAGAAGCCCCCGCTGGGATGGCTGGGGCTGGAGCAGAGCCCCCAGCAGCTGCTGGGCCCGAGGGCTGGGGGTGGCCTGGGGTGGGGGGAGAAGCACCACTGACCCCGTGTGTTGCAGAGACTGCCATGAACATCGGCTACGCCTGCAAACTGCTGACGGACGACACGGAGATCCTGGAGGAGAAGGAGATCAGGTGAGGAACCGTGACCTCCTGGTTCACTGTCCCTGCACAGGACACCTGAGGGCACAGGAACCAGGGCAGGGGAGGCAGAGCTGAACTCAGCCAGAGATGCTTCTGCTCCCCTGTCCCAGTCTGCGTGTCCATGGTCCCACCTGCCGAGGCTTTCCCAGGCTTCCCCCTCTGTCACAGCAGCTCCTCCTTGGCAGGCTTGGAGCAGGAAGGGTTCAAGCTTCTCTCCAGCCACAGGCAGAGAGGCTGATTTCTGATATCAGTGAGCCCTTGGGGTGCCCTCTCTGCCCCCCTGTTCCCACCACTGGGTACCAGTCCCACCTCCCTGGCTCTGAGATGCCAAAGGCCCGCTGTGGGTCTCAGTTCCTGCCTGGTGTCCTCAGCTCAGCTCCAACCACCCCTTCCTCACACAGTGAGATCCTCCAGGCTTACTGGGCGAGCAACAACAACCTCAGTGGCAGTGGGGAAGCCCCAGGCAGCAGCCCCCTGTCCCAGCAGTGCCCAGGGGCTTCGTGCCACAGGAGGAGAGCCATCATCATCAGCGGGGACTTCCTGGTAAGGTGGTACCTGGATGCTCCTCTCTGCTCCCTGCCTGTGCTGCCAGAGGGTTGTTTCTGCCCTGGGTGGCACCAGCATGTGGAGGACGTGACATCCCTCCTGCCCAAGGGGTGGGAAAAGCCCATTTAGGGCTGGGGAATGAAGAGTGGAGAGGGGAACACCACACCTGCCCAACCAAGTCCTCTGGGATGGCACAGGCCAGGTGTCCATCACGTACTCTTCTGGCCATACTGGGACATACTGGTCCCGTGGTCACTGTGTCTGCTGCGTGGCAAACTTGGAGAAAACCAGAGCCACTTTTTTGTGGTATTTACAAGATTTAAGAGCTGGGGGCCCCCACGCTCTGAAGGCTGTGGGGGTGAGGTCCCAGCCACGCGTGCTCTCCCCTAAGGACAAAATCCTGCACACGGGAGAGGTGCTGAAGGAGAAGAAGGGGTGGCCGTGGCAGTGGCTGCCCCGTGGCAGGACCGTGGGGTGCCAGGAGCAGGGGAGCCTGGTGGAGAAGGCCTTTGTGGACTTGGCCACCAGCTGCCAGGCAGTGATCTGCTGCAGGGTGACCCCCAAGCAGAAGGCCCTCATCGTGCAGCTGGTGAAGAAGCACAAGAAGGCCGTCACCCTGGCCATTGGGGACGGGGCCAACGACGTCAACATGATCAAAAGTGAGTCACTGGGCAGGGGGAAGGGGGGGTTTGGCTGCTGTGTCCCACTGGTGGTACCCAATCTGCCATCTCCACCCTCTCACCCTCCCCTTCGAGGTGGGGGGAACCCCCCCGACCGGTTCCCCACGTTGCTGTGCTGGGAGGGGAGTGAGAGGCACAGGACAGAGACCAGCCCAGGACAAGAGCAGGGTGGACCCCTTGCTTTTGGCACCAGGGATGAACCTGGATGAAACTTCCAGCCCCAGCGTGGGCAGAGACATCCCTGTCCCTCCCCAGCAGCCCTGATGTGGGGCTGTGCTCTTTGCCTGCCCAACCGTGCCTGGAATGTCACTCCCCGTGGGATACGGGGGGTTTATTCCCTTTGCCCATCACTGTTGGGTTCACCCTCTCCCCTCAAGCCTGGGGAAATCAAGCCCTCAGCTCCCCAAAAACCTCCCCATGTGTGTTTTACCCCCTCAGCCATGGACATCAGGGTGGGGATCAGCAGGGAAATCAAACCCCCAGCTCCCCCAAACCTTCCTCACGTGCGTTTCACCCTCTCAGCCACAGACATTGGGGTGGGGATCAGCAGGGAAATCCAGCCCCCAAAAACCTCCCCATGTGTGTTTTACCCCCTCAGCCGTGGACGTCGGGGTGGGGATCAGCAGGAAATCCAGCCTCTAGCTCCCCAAAACCCTCCCCACGTGCGTTCTCCCCCTCAGCCGCAGACATCGGGGTGGGGATCAGTGGGGAAATCAAACCCCCAAAAACCTCCCCACGTGTGTTTCACACCCTCAGCCGCGGATATCGAGGTGGGGATCAGCAGGGAAATCAAGCCCCCAGCTCCCCAAAACCCTCCCCATGTGCATTTTACCCCCCAGCCACAGACATTGGGGTGGGGATCAGCAGGGAAATCCAGCCCCTAGCTCCCCAAAAACCTCCCCACATGCATTTCACACCCTCAGCTGTGGACATCGGGGTGGGGATCAGCAGGGAAATCAAACCCCCAGCTCCCCAAAACCCTCCCCACGTGCATTTTCCCCTCCCAGCCACAGCGGGGTGGGGATCAGCGGGGAAATCCAGCCCCCAAAAAACCTCCCCATGTGCATTTCCCTCTCTCAGCTGCAGATATCGGGGTGGGGATCAGCGGGCTGGAGGGGCTGCAGGCCGTGCAATGCAGCGACTACGCCCTGGCCCAGTTCTGCCACCTGCAGCGCCTGCTGCTCGTGCACGGCCGCTGGGCCTACCTGCGCATCTGCAAGTTCCTGCGCCTCTTCTTCTACAAGACCTTCGCTGGACTCATGGCCCAGGTCTGGTTCGCCTTCCACAGCGGATTCACGGCCCAGGTGAGGGCTGCAGAGGTTTTGGGGGGGTCACCCAGGATCCCCTGCGGGGACGATGCCTGGTGGACACTCCACCAAAGAAAGTGTTCAAGGCCAGGTTGGACAGGGCTTGGAACGACCTGATCTAGTGCAAGGTGTCCCTGCCTGTGATGGAAAGGTTGTACTAGGTCATCTTTAAAGGTCCTTTCCAATGTAAACAACTCTATGCATTTTTAGTATATGGCAAGTCTAGAACTAAGAGGGTAAACCCAGCAAGATCCAGTCAAAGAACAAACCCTGTTACATTTTCTTAGTTTTGCCTCATACACTTTTTCAACCAGGACCACACACACTGTACTACTACTACTACACACACTGTCAGAGGTGCCTCCTGTGTCTTGCAAAAAAGCTTCACCACAGTGTCACCACCCTGGTCCTCTGTCTCCCTTACCATGTCTGATTTTTTGGGGTTGCCTGGGTGAGCTGTAACTGGTTGTCCACTTCTTACCTGGCTGGACTGGGAGAAGCACCCTGCGGAGGTTCGGGATGTCCTTGTGAGCTGCAGCTCAGTCTTGGTCAGACACAGGGAAAGATCCCACGTGGTTTCCTCCAGAACAGGAGCTTTTCTCCCAGGGGCCATCGGTGGCACTTGGGCAGCACTGCAGGGCTCCAGCCCCCACCTCCACCTCCACCACAGCCCCACAGACAACGTGGGGCTGATGCAGAACCTGGGCCAAGCCCGTGGGAATTTCCATGTTTGGATGTGTCTCTTGGACTCACCCCTGGGGCTTGGGCTTCCTTTCTGAGCCTTTCCAAAGCACCTCCGAGCTCACAGCTGCTTCCTCTTCCCTTCCAGCCCCTGTTTGAGGGCTGGTTCCTTGCACTCTACAACATTTTCTACACTTCCTACCCCGTGCTGTCCGTGGGCCTCCTGGAGCAGGTATGGATTTGCTGAGCTCATCCCTGTGCCCAGAGGCTGCATCCCTGGGGGGTGGGAATGAGCCTGGCAGTCCTTGCACCCCATCTGCACCACCCTTGGTGTGGCACTGGCAGCTCGAGGGGCACGTGGAGCTCACCAGTCCCGGGGTGCCTGTTCCCCACCACCCCAAAGCCACTGGGAGAGGGACCCCCTGCAGCTCCCCCAGGGGGTGTGTGGGGTGGGGTGGCCCCATCCTGCTCCCCCAATCCCTGCATCCCCTCTGTGATGCCCGGTGCCCTCCTGGCAGGACGTGAGTGCCAAGAAGAGCCTGGAGTTCCCGGAGCTCTACGTGACTGGGCAGCAGGACGAGCTCTTCAACTACCGCGTTTTCGGGGTCACCCTCCTGCACGGGGTCGGCACTTCACTCACCAGCTTCTACATCGCCCTCTGGGCCTTCGAGGACCACGTTGGCAGCAAAGTTGTCGGGGACTACGAGTCCTTCTCCGTCACCGTGGCCGTGTCGGCGCTGCTCTCGGTCCTCGTGGAGGTGAGCAAGGGGCTGCTCCTCCCCAGCCCGTCCCCACAGCAGATGTTTAGGGTCTGCAGCTCTGGGCTCTGACACCTTCCCCAGCAGCTTCGTGGCTGGGGGGTGACCACTCTGGGATGGAGGAGGAATCTGGGACAAAAGGGCCACTGCAGCCCCCGTGAGACACTGTGTGCTCTGCCCTTGTCCCCCCAGATCGTCCTGGACACCAGGTTCTGGACAGTGTTGTCCTTCCTGATGGTCACAGCCAGCCTGCTGTTCTTCTGCCTCTTCTCCTTCCTGACCCAAAGTATTGATGCCTTCAGGATAGCCCCTGCCATCTTCTCCTTCCCAGGTGAGCTGCCCTGGGGCTGCCCACAGTCCTTCCCTTCCCCAGCCAGGACAGCCCAGCCTGGCCTTGGTGCTACGACCTGTTTCCCACCCTGTGGATCATCTCCTTTTTGCCACTTCCCAATCTTGCCATCTTGATATTTGACTCCAGTTCAGGTGTCATCTTTTCTTTAGAGCCCTCAGCACCTCCACGGGTGGGCTCCTGTCCCTCTGTCCTCTCCACCTTCCCTACTCAAGCAACCCCCCCCAAATTCTCGTGCTGACAGATGCCAGCTGGAATGCCTTCACTGACCCCTACGTGCTGCTGGTGGTCCTGCTGTCCCTGGTGGTGAACACCCTCCCCTCACTCACCGTCCACGCGTTCCGTGCCACCGTGGGCAAAGCCACCACCCAGCAGGTGAGGGCTGGGAGGGGCTGGCATGGGGAGGGGCTGCCTCCCACTGCTGTTGGTGTCTGGGATTGCTGATGGGAAGGGTGAGGTTCCCCAGGAAGCCTGGATTGTAGTGGTGGGACATGTCACCTTTCCGTGCTGGCACCAGTCGTGGTGGTCTTTCATGACACTGGCGCCCAACTCTGACTCCAGGGCCCTCTTCCCAGATTATTCCAGGGCCCAGCAGGAGGCCCTGGGCAAAGAGACCTGCCCCAGCTCTTGGAGAAGGTCTGCTTTTGGCTGGAGTAAGGAACTGGCCTCCAGGACCTCCCCCGAGGCTCTGGGGTCTGCTGGAGGTCTTGGTACCACCCCAGCCTTGGTAGAGCTCATCCCCACCTGGGTCATGGGTTATACCTTCCCAGTGCTACAAAGAGTCCCAGAGGGGTGCAGGGGTTGAGATTGTGCTCCAGAGCTCCATGAGCTCTGCAGACCCTTGGGAGAGTCCCCACATTCCTCATTCCACCCACCATCCCCAAAATCAGGTCGTGCTGGAGCTGGGAGCCAAACCGTGTGGAGGTGCCCCTGTGCTCCCTGCATGTCCCCCCTCGGGGTGAGGGCTCACCTGGGAGGTGTCCTCAGCCCTGATCTCCCCCACTCCTTGCAGAAGATCCACTTGAAGGCCAAGAAGGAGCCAGAGCCCTCGGTGGAGCTGAAGGCCCACGTCCCTCGGGGCTCCTTCTGCCGCCGCTCCAGCTACGCCTTCTCCCACCAGGAGGGCTACGCTGGGCTCATCACCAGGGGGGACAGCCTGAGGGCCAGGGCCAGCCCTGGGGACAGCTTGCAAGCCAAGGCCAGCCCTGGGGACAGCCTGAGGGCCAGGGCCAGCCCTGGGGACAGCCTGAGGGCCAGGGCCACCCGCAGCACCATCCCAGAGGGGACCCCGGCCGTGTCACCCCCCCCCAGCCCCTCAGTGTAGCTGCCCTGGCTGGCACCGACCTCCCACCCTGCTGGGCCAGGGGAGGAGTGTCAAAGGCACACAGCTGGCTGGGTATCTCCTCTTCTGGGCCACCTTTTAGTCTTATTTGATGGGTTTGCAGCCCCCGTGGCTGCAGAGGGGCTGGCCCAGCCTGGGGGGGCTGCTGTGGGGACTGAGCCCTGGGCTGTGTCCTGCAGTGGCTCCACCTCACAGAATCACTCCATCAGGGCTGGAAGGGACCTCTGAGGTCACCCCCACCCAGTGTGTGCATGGGCTTGGCAGGAGGCTGCCAAGCTGTGAAAGCCACTGACTGCTGCCACCAGGCTGGTCCCCTCACCCTGTGACCCTCTGGCTGGCACCTCGGCCCCCTCCCCTCTGCTGAGCCCCCCAGAGCCAGGCCTTCCTCCTGGCTGAGGCTGATCCTGCTCCTGGCTGGGGCCACAGACAGCAAGGGGGCTGCCCCGGAGTCATTATCCCACCTCTGAATTAATTAAATGCCCTGGTGGGTGGTGGGTGAAGCCCCTCACCCTGCTCACCCCCAGCGTGGGCTGAGCTGCAGCGGCTGCACAAAGACCTTTGTCTCGTGTTCCCCACACGGGGCTGGTTTCTACCACGTGGCTTTCACGAGCATCAGCCCCACAGACCACACAATCACAGAATGCCTGAGTGATTGGGGTTGGAAGATCTTAAAGCTCGTCTCTCTCCACCCCCTGCCAGGGGCAGGGACTCCTCCCACCAGCCCAGGTTGCTCAGGCTTGAGCAGTGGGATTTTGAAACGCCCCCTAATTCCTGGAGGAGGATCCATGTGTGGTTGATGGATCCCCTGCAGGTTTTCCTCCTCCTGCCAAACCAGGCTCCTGCAGCCTCTCCTCGTCCCTCCCCACCATTCCCACTATTCCCACCATTCCCACCTCCTTGCCTTTGCCATCCCTGCACAAGGGGCACTCTGTGCCATCTCCACACCCTTCCCCCTTTGGGGACAACTTGTGGCCACAGGCTATGGCCTCTGCAAAGCCCCAAAAAGAACTCCTGGGGGAGGTTGAAGCACTGAGGGGCCGTGGGTCAGCTCTGCCCACCGGGCACGGGGCACATTCCTGCACATTCTGCTGGAGAAGTTGTGTGTGAACAACTGACTGGTGACTGGGTCACCCTTTTTATTGTTCTAATTTTTTAAAATAAAGGATTTTAGCTTTTCTCTCCTCTCCTGTAAATCTCTGCTACGCCACGAAGGGCAAAAGCTGCACGGAAAGGTCCTGTGGTCGCTCTGTGTGTGTGTCACTGGCGCTCGTGCCGTGGTAAAATGCACAGGAGGACAAGACATTTGGGTAAAATGACACCAAATTAAATCAGCCACGGGGACTTGGCCCTGCCTGCAGCACACATGACTCGATGGGTTTGTTTAACAAGTGCTTTGGCCTCGTCTGCACTGAGTTTGTGAGAATTAAAGTGTTTTCCTTGGGCTCTGGCCAGAAGGGTCTGGACGGTGCCAAGAAATAAAAGTCTTTCCTCTAGGAAAGCTCTCACCCCTGCAACCAAGAGGTGGAAAACTGGGAGAAACTTTTCCCAGCTGCCTGGGCACGATCCCCAAATCTCCATCCTGGTGCTACCAGGGCAGGTTTAGGAGAGAGGAGCTGAGGTGGTTAAAATAGGCCATCAGGAGGGAAGTGACCCCGCCATCGCTGTGGGACACACACATACGCCAGGGTGAATGACTAGAAAATAATTTATTGAAGAAACAGAAAGCTGCAGAAATACACAACACAGTCATGACCAGTAGAGGATGAACAAATAGAGATTAATTTTTTTCTCTCTTTTAAAACCTGTTGACAGGCTGGAGTTAAATTTCCTGATAACTTCCCCTGCATGAGTCATTGCAAAGAACAAGGAACAAACTCCAGAGCACAGAGCACAGTTTGGATAAAGTGCCTGACACATAAGACTCTTTTTTATTTTTTTTTCTTTTTTAACCTTTGTAAATAGCTTAAACAAATATAGTTGCAAGACACAGAGGAGTAACAATTGCATTTTGCTGTAGAGTAAAACCCATCCCATGAGAGTAACAATGAAGCAGCAGCAGCAGCAGCAAAAAAAAAAAAAATTAAATTAATTGAATTAGAAGGAAAAAGTAATTTAAAAACTCAGAGATGTGTGGCCCTCAGACCGTGTGGGGTGAGGGCAAGTGTCACCTATTGCTATACAGAAAAATGAGCAACGTTTTCTGGAGAGGGGCTGGGCTGGCAGACCCGAGGCTGTGGGTTAATTCTGTCTGAGCTCTTCCTTTCCTTTAAAAAGTGAAGGGGGAAAAAAAGAAAAACCAAAACCAAAACCAACCAACCAAACAAAAACCCCACACTAAAACTCAATATCTCTTCTTTGCATTTTTCATTTCCTCTCTTTAAAAACACCCCGAAGAAAAAGACACGAGAGGAACCGGATTCCACGTGGCAGCGCCCGCGGGTCCAACCCCATCTCCGGGCGTCCTCTGAGACAAGGGAAAGGAGCTGACTCGGTGCTGGGGGGTGTGCTGGGGATGGGGACAACCCAATGGTGCCCAAAAAGGGCTGGGGAGAGAGCAGCTGATGGCCTTCCCCACCCAGATGCTCAGGAAAAGGGGCGAGTGGTGATTTTTTTGGGTGAAGCCGTTTCTCGGCTCCCAAACCTCTGGTTAGGGCAGAAAAAGCTCAGCTCTGGATGTGCCATAGCAGGGTAATAATAGTTAAAACCCAGCTGGGCATCCCCAAGAGCCCCCGTTCCTCCTGCTTGCCCCGTGGGATGGGGCAGAGCTGCCCCACTGCTGGATGGGGTTCTTCAAAGCATAAAAGCCGTCGATGGAAAACTTCCACCCGAGGTAGAACTGGGGGGACTGGGAGATGTCAGAAGTAATGCAATGACCCAAATCCCTGAAAACTTCCACAGCTGAAGTAGGAGACAGTGGCCAGGCTGAACCAGCAGGTCTCAGTGGGAGAGCCCAGCTCTCCTCCTCTTCCTCATCCTCCAACACCCTCGGGGTGTCCCTGGGCCCCGGTTTTGCTCCTGCTCCCCACAGCACAAAAATGCCCTTGGGTGCAACCCTGGTCAAGAGAATTGTCTTTAGGACAGAACTCAGATTGTCATTACCTGCAGGGGGAAAAAAATCTTTGGTATCGTTGCAAGTTGCTCCTCAGGGCGTTTTGGTGGGTGTGGGCAGCAGGCACGGCCAGGCCTGGTGTGGGCAGGGCTCAGCTGATGCAGAACAGGGGAGAGAGCTCAGTTCTTGGCTTCTCTGGGGTGTCCTGAGCCATGACTCCCCAGGATGGAAACCAACTGGTCTCTGTAGGGTCCCTGGACTTGCGACTGTGGGTCGTATCCGAGCCTGGTGAGACCTTCTTGCAGTTGGAATCGAGGTCTTGGCCTCCAAGCACCAAAAGCTTCTTGTGCTTGAAAAGGTCTTGCGGGAGGAAACGGGACACGGAGGGGATGCAAAGCTTCCCAGAGGACAGGAGGGCTGGTCAGGAGGTGAATGGTGCTGCTGGAATCAACACCATCTCTTCCTAAAACCCACATCCTCAGTCAATGTGTCCACGTCTCCCACCACCACCTGCTACTGAGCCTCTCGGTGCTGCTCACGAAGGCAAAGGCTGCAGGGACACAGCATCGGACAAGAGATGGAAAAACACCTTCCTTGGCTTTTGGGGGCCACTTTGGTGGGGCCTGAAGATGCTGGGATCTCCTTCCTTGCAGTGGGCTGGACTTTGGATCCACCCCAGTGATGTAGGAAAAGGATGGAGCGGTGAAGAGGCTGGAGAGGGTTGAGGAATTTTCAGGTGTATGCTCTGGGAATGGAAGTGAACTGAACCACTGCCCCCATCACCCTCCTGACCTCCAGAGGTGTGACTCCTTCCTGCTGCTCTCCTCCCCTCTGACCAGGGAGAGGATGAGGAGCAGGAGGAGGAAGGAGCAGGGGATGCAGCCATACAGGGGGTGGACTCTGGGCACTTGCAGAAAGCTCCAAAGACCTTCCAAAGTCCCCTGAGAGCCGACAGTGGGCTGGGGTCCTCCGGGACCTCTCCCACGGGCTGCACTCTTCTTCCTCTTCAGCCAGAGCGGGTGAGAGCCAGGCTGGGTGGCATGGGGAAGCCTGGCAGGGGCAGACAGTGTGCCCAAACCACGTTCCTGGGGAGAAAACCCTCAGAAATGGGCCCCTCCCGGGGTGCAGTGTGGTGTCGGTGCAGCAGCACCTCTCTCCAGGCAGGGCGAGGGCAGGGGGAGGTCTGTAAGGTCTCCCCAAGGGAGGGGGATTTGGGGTCAGCCCCTGGCGAGGTCCCAGCCCTGAGGGAAGGTTTGGGGTGCCTGGAGCCATTTCTCTTGTCTCAGAGCACACGAGGAGCCCCACAGCTTTGCCAGTTCGGGTTGTGGTGGTTGATTGTCTCTCCTTCTCTTGTCTGCACTTGGGATTTGAGCCCCAGAGCTGGATAAAACAACAAAAACCCCAGAAAAACAAACACCAAACCAAACAAAAAACCCCAAACACAAAGCACGGGCGAGGAGCCAGACCCCAGGGTGAGGGGGGTGGGACCCAGGGTGTGCCCTGCACCCCATCCTGGCTGGGGGTCCCCCGAGCAGCCCCTGCCTCCCCTCGCTGCTGCTGCTGCTGCTGCTGCTGCCCCGCGGCTCCCAGGGGGAGGAAAGGAAGAGAAGGAGGCGAAGGAAGAAACCAAAGGGGATAAACAACGACTTCCCCGCGGCTGTGAGTCAGAAAAGAGAGCCATGATCCATGCAGAGAAATCTTCATCAACCGAAAACTCGTGGACAAAAAGAAAAAAAGAAAAAAAGCACAGTTTGTGTCCCCTCCCGCTCCCACCCGACCACCCCTCCCCGAATAATTATTACATTACTTCAAGAAAGAGTATATTTTTTTCATGCATAAATCAAATTCTCTTGTCTTTTTTTTTTGTCTTTTTTTTTTGTCTTCTTTAAATTACATTTGAACACAGAACACATATAATAAATACTCTTGTACGACATGACTCAGAGAAAAGTAACACATCTGAACGCAAAGGTATCGTCATCATTATTAGTTTTTCTTTTTTTTCTTTTTTTTTTTTAAAAGGACTTGTTTAAATATGAAATCTGTAAACTCCAAGGGTCCTTTTTTTTTTTAATCTTTCTCTCTCTCTTTCTCTCTCTCTCTTTCTCTCTCTTTTTTTTTTTTAAATCTTGAAACTATCCAGCTTTCATTTCCTTAACATTCAATATGTCTCCCATTGAACGCGTCAAAGAAATAAGAACATGCCGTCTTCTGCAAAATTATAATTTAACAGTATAAAGCTTCAAGTCACAAATTCCAAAAACTAGCTAAGTAATTTTTTTTTTTTTTATCACATAAACTATACATTAAATATTTTGAGGTATTTCAGAGAACATTGTCAAAGGCTTGTAAGGTCTGTGCTGGGTGGAAAAGAAGGCTTTCTCCTGCATAGAGAACGTCTTTGGTATCACAAGCCATGTGGGAATGGGGTAGAAGAGGGGTGGCGTGGCCAGGGGGTCGGGCAAGACCTGGCCAAGGCAATAGTGTGGAGGGGGGGATGGGGGGGGACAGGGAGGTGATGGGGTCAGGGAGGCTCTGACCTGCCCTCTCAGGTTGCCCAGTGGGACAGAGGACCCTGGGGGGGTCCCAGGTGGGTTTGCTCTCACCAGGGGGGGGTTAGAACCATAAAATGATTGAATCACACAATCTCCTGGGTTGGAAGGGACCCACCAGGGTCACCCACTCCAGTTCCGGGCCCTGCTGTTGTGACAACCCCAAGAGTTGCACCAGGGCTGGCCCTGGGCAAGTTTGGTCCAACTCCAAAGGAGCCGCTTTGGCTGGAGCCTGGACTGGGTGGGTGCCGTTCAACCCAAGGGTTCCCTAAATTCTGGAGGCTGATCTGGAAGAGCATCTTCTCCAGAGGATCCTCCTGCTGCCTTTGGCCAAAGCCAAGAGTCAGAGTGGAGCAGACCTGGCTGCGCTGACCTTCCCCAGAGAGCCAAAAACACCTCTCTGAGGACATGGAAAAGGCTCCTGCTGAAAGGTTCCACAGCTCCACACCATTCCCTACAGGAAGGCTTTGGAGAAAGCCCAGGGTGAGGCTTCCCTTTCCCGCTCCTGCCTTTGTCCTTCCAAACAGAAATGCCACAAACCCTTCCCGTGCTGCCAAAAAGGGAAACCAAAGCCCAAGTCTGAGCTGAGCAGGGAACAAACACCCCCTGAGGACGCTCGTGTTGTCACCTCATGGAGCTGGGCTGGAGAAGGACACGGAGCAAAGCCTTTTCCCAGGAACAACGTCCCAGACACTGGATCAGTGCTCCTGGGGCAAGAGGGGCTCGATGGAGGGACCCAGGCCGGGGGACACGGGGACATCTGAGAGGGGGGACACGCCGGGGGACCAGCACCTTTCCCGCAGCGGGCGGCGAGGGGGATGTTTTTCCTCTTCAATCAGGACACGGGTTGGGTTCCTTTCCTTCATCCCGACACCCAAAAGACTACAAGAGCTGTCGGAATCCCGTCCCTTCGGAGAGCTGAGGTAATAAGTGAGTCTTTAGGGTCAAAGCAGAGGAGCAAAGAAATGGCCACACACCTTTGGTACAAGAAAAAGGCACTCATCTACCACGCTGCCATCCCGGAGCCGCTCGCTTGCCTTCTCCCTCGCTCTCTGGGGACTCTCAGGGCTGGGGGGGTGGGTGGGTGGGGGTGGCAGGGGGCTGTCGGCCGGGGTTTTGGGGGGGGGTCTCCTGGCCAGCCCGTCCGCGGGGAGCAGGGAAAGTGGCGTTTCCAGCACAGACCAGACAAGGCAACAAAATCTTTGGTATCAGACGTGATTTTCAAATCACAAAAATTGAAAACTCAAGTGAGGTAGCCTTTAGTCTCGGGTTCTCACTAGAAATGTCTTTGCATCCTTGAGGGCCTGTGGCATTTACTCTTTTTTTTTTCTTTTCCTTTTTTTTTTTTCTCCTTTTTCTTTCTTTTCCTTTTTTTCCCATTATTTTTTTTTTCTCCCGTGTGTGTTTTTTTGGTTTTGTTTTTGTTTTTTTTTTTTTCACTTCCCAAACCAAGGCCCCCTTCCTGGCTTTTCAGCCCTTGAATACTACTCGATGGGGTTCAGGAATCCACCGCCATCGTCACCACGTCACGACAAGACAAGAAGAAACAACATCAGGGGAAAAAACTCAGCGGCGGGGGGGGAGCGGGGTCCCGGGGGAGGGGGGGTGGGATTGGCTTTGCCGTCAGTTTTTTTGGGATGTGGGTGGCAAAACACGCTGCGGCACCGGCCCCTTCCCGCCTCTCCCTTTCTCCACCCCTCTCTCCCGCCCTCTCTCTCCAGCAATCCATCGGTTTAGTTTGGTGTGACCGTGTCCATCGGACACCCCCGGCCCCTCCACCGCCCACCTACCCCAGGAGCTCTTTGGTTACCGACGTCCTCCGACCCCGCCGGGCAGGGCTTCGTGTGCAGAGTTTGTTTGGTTTTTTTTCTTTCTCTCTTCATCCTTTTGTCCTTTCTTTCCTCTTTTCTTTTTTTTTTTTTTTTTGGAGGGGGGGTGCTTTTTTTTTTCGGTTTTGGTTTTTTCGTTTGGGTTTTTTTTTGTTGTTGTTGTTGTCGTTGGTTTTTTTGTTTTTTTGTTTTGGTTTTTTTTTTTTTGGTGAACACGTACCCTTTCGTTTTCTTTTTCTCTTTTTTTTTTTTCCTTCTTTTCAACAAGGTGCCTTCCTGTGACACAACTGATCACTCGCAGAGTAAAGTGAATCGAAGAAACCGGAGTGCTAGAACACAGATGGGACTGTTTTACCCGCATAAATTCAAGAGTGTCTTTTTTTTGTTTTTTGATTGACGGTTGGTTTTGGAGGATTTGGTTTTTGGTTTGTTTTTTTTTTTCCCCAACTGGTGGGGGAAGGAGGGGACCTTGCCTCCCCGTCCATCCCCAAGCCTCTCCCAGCCCTTCCCTGTCCCCGGCAGCGGCACCTCCTGCTCCTCCCAAGGACCCCCCAGGCTGGCAAGGAGCCCGCGGGGGAGGGGGGTGGGACAAGGGCTGATTGCGAGGGTTTGGCCTCGTGATTGCTTTTTTATATGGCACAAGTCACCATCGAGAGCTCGGAGGAGACGATCCCTTTGAAGCTTAAGTACCATTTGCTCCAGAAATTCGCGTTTTAAGGCAGGTTGTTAATTGGCACAAAAAAAAAAAAAATCAGCTGCTGTCTTTTTGGTGAGTTGCCGGTCTTGGAGTTGAGCTTGTTTGGTTGTGGTTTCTGTTGTTATTCCTTTTTGGGGGGGGGTTGTTTTTTTCCCTTTCGATCTCATCGGGGAGCTTTTTCCCCCCTTCTCACACCCGGGGCTGGATTTTGCCACCAGATCCCTCGGATTTTTCTTTTCCCACCGAACGCCGACGTCGGTTCCCAGGAGGGAAATTTGGTTTTGTTGTCGATGTCGTTGTTGGGTTTTTGGTTTTGTAATTTCTTTGGTAACAGAGATGAAGAAGTGAGGGACGGGAAGGGGCAATAAGTGTGTGTCGAGGGGCGGATGGGGCGAGACACAAAGCCAACGAATCCGCTTTGTCCGTGTCCGTTCCTCGACCGAAAAGCGAAACCAGAAATCCAGCGGCGAAAGGTGGAGCCAAGTCACCAGGGAAAGATCAGATCCTTCGCTCCAAGTCTCTCCTCCCGTCTCCTCTCAGACAATTATTAATTTCAAATACCCGATTTCTGTAGCTAAAATGTGCTTCTTTGACCTGCTTGGGCGCCAGGCGACGCGGGGCAGCCGCGGGTCCCTCCGGCCGCGGCGCCGGGGGACGTTCGGGTCCGTGGAGGCGACTCCTTCGCCAGGGAGGTTCTCCGGGAGGGATCTGGGATTGGGGGGGGGTTCCTCATGGGGTCAGGGGGTGTGTGCGTGGGGGGCCGGGGTGTGGGTGCTCTTGGGGCGTCCCGGGGAGGATCAGAGGAAGGTGCCCGTGGAGGAGGTGGAATGGCCTCAAAAAAACCCTCCAGGGAGGGAAGCGCTGTGTGTGTCAGTGGCAGGGAGGGTCTGGCTGCCTTTTACCTCAGGGAGGTAAAAAACTTCAGCAGCCAGAGACCTGGCAGGAGCCTGGTCACCCTCCAGGCACGGCAGGAGTGTTGTCCCTGCTCATCTTCATCTGAACCACAGGCCCAGGTTCAGTGGGGCTGTGCCACAGCCCAGCCCGTGATGCCACTTCTTGTATCTCCCTCAGCTCTACCCCTCCACTGTGGGAGCCACCAGGGTGGCTGTGACCGAGGTCAAGGTTGGTTGGGGGATCAGGGTGCGCCCCTCTCTCCAAAAACCCTCGTGGGCAGGTGAAGAGAAGGTTCTGTGATCCCCAAGGACCAGGGATGCTTCCAAACAGCACCTCTCTCTCTCTCTCTCTCTCTCTCTCTCTCTCTCTCTCCTTCCACCCCACATCATCCCTCGCTCCACATGGGTTTCCTCTGAGCCCTCCCGGGGACGGAGCTGACCTGGTGGCAAACCCTGTCCCCGCTCAAGGAGCCGGGAGGACGAGGCAGCAGGATGTGGCACGAGGCCCCATGCCCGGGGATGATGCCCATCTGAGGGCTTGGGAGGCCGATGGACCCACAGCACCCAAAAGCACCCACCCCAACAGGCCCGGGACATGCGTGTGAGTCTGGGTTGGCTTTGTCATGAGGGGGATGTCCAGGAAGGGGCGGGGAGGGCCGGGGGGACATCATGCTTTGGAGAAAGTGCTTGTAGAAGACGAGGGGACTCCGGGGTTGGCGCCTGGCTCCTCCTGCCAGCGGTTCATGCACCGCCGGCGGGCGTTCATGAAGAAGTTGCTGACGGTGTTGAGCTCCAGGCCCAGCTGCTGGGAGATGGTCATCTGCATCTCCTTGGACGGGCGCTTGTTCTCCTTGAAGATGGCGATCAGGGTGCGGCGCTGGAGGTCCGTGAAGACCAGCCGCTGCTTCTTGGGCTGCAGGCTCCTGTCCTTCTGCTGCTCCTGCTCCTTGCGTTTGCAAGCTGGGGGGGGGAGTTCAAAAGAGAGAACAGGGCCGTTAATCGGTGCCCACCACCCCGGCCCGCTTGCTGGGACCTCCCAAAAACCAGGGAACTTGCTGGCTCGTTGCCCACCACGCCCTAGGCCACCTCCCTCCTCTTCCTCCCCTGCGCCTTCTGAGCCTTCCGAGCATCATTTGGTGACACCGGTGTGACAAAAGCCTGGGGGAAGCCCATCGGAGGCCCAGGAAAAGCCCAAAGTCTCAGCACGTTCGGCTGACCCTGAGACCAGAGACTGAGGAAGCTCCTGGACTGCTCTGCTCCCACAGCCTGGCTGCTGGGACCTGCTCCATCCCTAAGTTTTGGGGTTGTCCATGGGCCTCCATCCCTTGCTGCACCCTGGAATGGTCTCCCTTGCCTCCTCATCACCTCTGAGGATCTCACTGGGGGACTCAGGGAACGGGTGTCTCTTGGCCATCACATCCAGCTGCCAGCTCTGGAATGCAGGAAGGACACAGGGATGTCATGGAAAGGTCTGTCTGCAGCCTCTGTGTCCCATCAGCCTGGAAGGACCGTTTGCAGTTTCATGGTTCCACCTGCTCTGGGAAGGGGTTTTCCTGACTCTGGAGGCTGGAGAACAGCCTGAACCACCTGAAGCTCCAGGAAATTCCATCTTCCCTGCGTGCCTTTGCTGCAGATCCTTTGGCACATGTGTCAGCACTACATTAAAACCCTGCAGGTTTGGCTTAAGCCAAAGGTCAGCACAGAGGGGCTGTCACACAGGGATGGACTGTGAGAGGCAGGAAAGTCCCCCTGGCCCCACCACGCTGCACGAAGGCAGGGAGGGAGGCAAGTACTGATAAATATATGAATTTTGATTGTGGGAATATCAAGCACACTGTTGGTGGAAGAGGTGAGACAAGGTATTTTCCTAGAAAATTCCAGAATGGTGGAGGTGGCTGATCCAGTCCCTGCTCGAAGCAGGGCCAGCCTTGAAGCTGTCAGGGTTCAATCAGGGACTGTGCAGGACTCAACTAGACCTGTGTGGGCTCTGCAGAGGGTGAGATGCCACGGGCAAGGCAGGGCATGGATCTGGCCCTGCGAGGCTGGGGACAAAACATTTCCTCCTGGAAAGCTCAGAAAAGACTGAGTAAACCATGGGCTAAAGACTTTCCAAAGGCAGTCCCACTCTTGCCCAGGGCAACAGCAGTTTTTCAGCCTTTGGGGTTTCTTGGTTCAGACCTTCCAAAGGATTTTACAAGGAGGGCACAAGTCCTGAGATATTTGCTGTCTGGGTGCTGTCTGAGGCTGCTTCTCTTAGGCACTTCCAGGAGCCTCTTTGACCTGGTGCACAGGCCTTGGAGGGGCCAGAGGCCAAGGCTGAAAGCCCATGGTGGCATCTCCTGTCCCAGGGACAGGTATTCCCCTCGGGCCAACGACCTTCCTGCTCCCAAACACACCCCTACAGCCACTCTGAGGGAAAGGGGAGGTAGGTTGTAGTCCAGGAGGAACAGGAGGGTGTTGAAGTTATTTCTTCCTCACTGGAAAACAAGCAAGGACTTCTCTGATTTGCCTTCAGCTGCCTCCACAAGTCTTCTTCACGCGCCCTGAACTAACAGAGAAGGATGATATCCACCCCTTCCACCCACAGCCGGGGAGAACTAGAGCTCAGGGAAGCAGGGAATTTATCCAACACTGTTTCCCCAGCTGCTGGGCTTGGTCCCTGCCCTGTCCCCACGTGGAGTCACTGGTCCCACTGCTGCTGGGACAGGGGACAGAAGGCACCAAGCTTGGCACAACCAACCCCACTCAGTCCAAATCAGCTGTCCCTGGTTAGTGGAGAACCTTCCCCTCCCCTTCTCCCCCCCACAGGCAGGTTTGGCTGCAAACCACCATCCTTAGGGACAAAAGGACAGTCTGAGCCCTGGTGGTGCCGGGGGGGACCCTGTCCCAGGGGTACCTTACTCAAACAGCCAGCAGAGAATGTGGAAACCTACCCTATGACCATCAGATGCTTGCAAAAAGAACAAACAAAAAAAAGCCTTTATAGAAAATTTGACTTTTTTTTTTTTTCCCCAGACATGAATTCCAAAAAGAAAAAATAGACCCGCCCACACTCCACCCCCCAAATCGAACAACAAATAGAAAAAGTCCCCCCACACCACTGCACGTGCATATTTGGAGCAGCCCATCCTCCCCCTGGGTTGCCCCTTGCCCACCCACCCACCACGTGCCCTCCCGGAATCCTCCCGGGGTCCCCCCAGAACCCCCCCGGGATCCCCCCAGGATGTTCAACTCCAGCCTCGTGCTGGTGGCACTGCTGGAACCTCGTGGGCTCCTCACACGGCTCCACTCCGCAGGGATGGAACCGCGGGGGGATCTCTGCACCGGGGACACACGGCCGGGTGTAGGAGCGTGCAAACATCCTCCCCACGCCCCGCGGGACCCGCGGGGGACGTGACCCCGCTGGCAAACCCCCCCCGGGATCCGGGCTGCCCTCTTGCTCTCCCGCCCCTTGGCACCCACTGCCCAGGCAGCCTCAAACCCCGCGTTCCAGCTTTCCAACCTCGCATTCCTCCCCCCCCCCGCCCATTCAATTTTTAGGAGTGATTATTACAAGCCAGTCTCCCATTAATAACTCAAAGCTCCCGAGGCAAACACGAACCATCAGGGGCTTGCTGCCAAAACTGGGCTCCCGCAGCAAACCTGGTGCCGGGTGTTGCTCACACGCAGGTGACTCCCCGCTCCACGCCCCCCATCCCCCCGTTATTTTCGGCCTCATCGCACATTTCCTGTGCTCGTTTTGTTTATTTATTAATTTCGGTTTGTGCTGACGCAGCCCCCCAGCCCCCTCCCCCGGCTCAATCTAATTACAGCTCCGCGCGGCCGGGATCGATAGTGACGCTGCTCGGATCTATTTACGGGGCCATCAACCCCCCAGCGGAGGATCTTTTTCCTATTCCCCATCCCCTGGGCGCTGCTTTCCCAGGAAGGCTGGAGGGGGGGGGGCCCGTCCCCGTGTCCCTGCAGGGTGGGGGCAGCCCGGGGCACAGCTCCGACCCCCGCCCAGGCCAGCACAGGGTGAGGGGGTTTCTTTGTGCTTCAAAATCCCTTTTTTTGTGCTTCAAAATCCCTTTTTTTCACCCCCAAGTCCTAAGATCCAAACGACTCATCCCTGGCTCAATGCTTTTGTTTTTCTGTCGCGTCCTTCCCGGGCCTCTGGGCTCGGCCGTGGACTCTGGGGATGGGGACACGCTTCCAACCCCCCCCCCCCCAAAGCTTGTGCTGCTCCTCCAGTTCACGGGAGATCCTGGGGGGACCAGGACCGACAGTGGGAGGGGTGCACTGAGGTCTCCCGTGGCCAGGGTGACGCTCTGTTGGCCAGTGAGGGGTTGAGCTCTCCCACAAGGGAGGTTTTCTCCTCCCCCCATCTCTCCCCAGCTCATTCCGCGACCTCCGCGCCTCCAAAACCGGCCAAAGAGCCCAGAAGTGACGAGGAGGGGACGCCAGACACGGCGGGATGGGACAGCTCCCCAGACCCCCTTCCTCCCGCGGGCAATCCAAGCGATATTCCAATCCTTACGCAGCTGATCGAGCTGCGGAAAAACCACGGGGAGCAAAGGCAAGGAGGAACCTCGAGGGGAAAAGCAGGAGGACGGACCCCCGGGAGGGTCCCACCCGGTTCTGCGGAGGGTTTCTGCCTCCCTGGAGCCTCCTGTCAGAGGGAGCGCGTTTTCCTTGGCTTAACCTTGACAGCTCCGAGCCAAACATCTCCCGAATCATTTCAGGAGGGACCATAATAGACACAATCAAATGGCTGCTGCTCAGAAGCTGCGATTATGCCTCGCAGCGTGAACTCCGCGAAGCATTTAACTAATACCCGATGGCTTTGCCGGCTCCCAGCCCCGCCAGCCCCTGCTTTCTCTATTATACCCGCAAACCTCTGTTTTCTCGGCCCCGGCGTGCTCTCCCTCTCCATTCACTTGCAATACAACCTGTAATTTTCTGCCCACTTTGCTTAAGTGCTGGTGATTTGTTGAAATCACAAAAGACAGCCAGGGGCTCTCGGAGCCAGCGTGCCGGCTGTAAGCAAGGTTAGGGGGAGGAAGGAAAAAAAAAACCACGAACCCCACCGGGTTTTCTCTTTTTCTCCTTGTCAAATCGTCTTCCGGGGGTGGAAGGGGACCCGGGGAGAATTTAGGGGCTCAAAGGGAGGTGGTAGAAGGGGTGGAGAGGGGGAGCCTGGAGGTGGTTGTTCAGGTCAGGACGGGTTTCTGGGGTGCAGAGGTGGGATGGGCTCGTTCCGCTGGTGGGCACTGGGTGGGAAACGGCCCCGAGCAAAGCTGGTTTCTCTCCATGACTTAAACGTGGGTCCAGCCCGTGGGCTGCCTCAGCTTCCCCCTCTCCTTGAAGGGGCAGAGGGATCTGAGAGGAGGTTGTAGCCAGGCAGGGATCAGTCTTTTGTCCCAGGTAACAAGTGACAGAACAGGAGGAAATGACCTCAAGTTGCACCGGGGGAGGTTTAGATTTGATATCAGGGAAAATTTCTTCATGGGAGGGGTTGTAAATCATTGGAACAAGGTGCCCAGGGAAGTGGTGGAGTCACCATCCCTGGAAGTGTTGAAGTGTGGATGTGGCACTTGAGGACGTGGTTTAGTGGTGACCGTGGTGGTGGTGGTTGGACTTGATCTTAAAGGTGTTTTCCAGCAATTCCACGGTTTTCTGATCTCACTCTCACCGAGAAGGGGGGTGGGTGTAGGGTTTGCAGTGGCTGTTGCTGATTCAGCCCCTCTCCCACTGTTCCAGAAGGTTTGGGAGCTGCAGCTCTGGGCAAACAGGGATGAGCCCAGAGCCCCACACAGGGTCTGATCCTGAGCGGAATCAACCTCGTGGCATCTGCTGGAGCAGAGCCTGGAGCAGAGATCAGGGGCTTTCATCTGCAAAACAGAAATCCTTTGGTCCACACTGGGGCTGCTTGGGGTGCTGAGGCAACAGTGAGAGGTTGGTTTGACTTCTCTTTGCAT